ATGCTACAAATGCAATACGGATTTATACAGATGGCTCAAAAACCAAAGAAGGCTCAGGATGTGGAGTGTACTCCAGATCACTAAGCCTAAGGATTAAGTGGGGAATGGGAAGAAATACCAGCGTGGTCCAAACAGAACTGGCTGGTATCTCAATCGCCACAAAAGAAATAACCAGGAAAGGAATTTCTGGTAAAAAAATAACAATCTGCACTGACAGCAGACAAGCCCTATTAGCCTTGAACAGACAACGTGTTACCTCAGGGCTAGTACTAGAGTGCCACCAAGATTTAGCCAAAGCCTCGGTAGATAATAACATTATCGTGAGGTGGATTAAAGGGCACGACAGGAGTAAAGGTAATCGCATTGGCGACTCTTTAGCCAAGTTACCCAAAATGTTGTAACAATATTTATTGTGAATAAATATAAAAACATAGTTGTTAGTTACAATAAATCCTTTTAATGAATATCAAAACGCACGCCACTGCAGGTGGAAAACGACCACAACGCTCATAAAATCTCTTTTTTACAACACAAAGATATGGTGGACCAGGTAAAGTATCATAAATCCGACTATATCAGCTGTGGCGCAAATCATAACATAATCACAAATTTTTGTTTGAGCAGTCTATTTGCGTTTTGCATTTACAAAGAGCATTATTACTTAGCTATTAGAAAACCGAGTACCTACAGTTGATTTTTGAATCGGAATCATTCAACAATTTCTCAATCTCCCCCAAATTACGTTTATATTATTATCGAATAACTATTCAGTTTGTTATGAATGAAATAGTGCAAGATCATCTACAAACTAGAAGTTACCACCCATTAAACCTAATTGAATCAAGTCACAAGAAGTTACAACCAGATTCGATAAAACAAACTGAGCTTGTCAAAGATGAGTCAAAAATATCCATCAACTAACACATCTACAATAAGCGTACGCGAATCTTTTGACATAGCCCCGCGAAAATACGATGATTTATTTTCGTACTCACCACTCAAAGATTGACGCGTCACTTTTCTTCAACTCACAAATAACGCTGAGCTCGTCCGCTAGCAATTCATCAATGAAACAGCATATCTTCATCAAAACTGCAGTTTTCTCACCCACAATCAGAGCGGCTGACGAATGATAACAATAACATGCGTCAATCGCTGAACGGAACGCGGGAAGTGTCAGCCGAGTTTTAGAAAGTGCCTCGCGAAACTAACCAAAGCCTACTGCAGCAATGTTTGGGCAGAGCAGATATTTTAATTTTAGACTTCGCTGAAGCGATTTGCTCTGAGGAAGTTGGCAGTCCGTTTATTAAAAGACAATCACGCTTGTTTGTGGACAGTCTTATGTCACGTCTAATTATTGTTGTTTTACGTGTGCGGTGCATCTACAGTGGGCATCGCAAATAAATATAGGATGGAGAAAATAAATTTTGTTACTACCGGTTTCGGTTCACTGAACCATTCTCAGTTTGGTAAATTTTCGTTATGTGGACACCCGGCGATTTTGAAAAAATGTTTGACTGTACTTACGTATTTTGATGCGTAGATTACGAATCCGAAAGAAAAAAGCGGCGCTCTCCATTATTTAAAAAGTTACGGCCCTTCAAAGTTCAGAAAAGGGCAACTTTTCAGCCTTCTTTTTCAAATTTTTTCAAAATCGCCGGGTGTCCACATAACGAAAATTTACCCTCAGTTTAATTGAGTTTGACTTTGTTTTTAACCATACTTTCATCAAATGGTATGTTTTTTTGTCGAAGGCACTCAATGATATCCGCAGTGGCAATTCTAAAACTTAAGGGCAGGGGGCACACCATAATTAGGCGCCAAGATTCAGTAAAAAGGCACAGGTATTTGAAATAAAACTGTATTTCCCATTAAGAAAAGAAATAATATGACAAAACTCTAATAAAAGAAATATTTCAATAATAAACAATGCGCACTATCAAAAAGCCAACATACAAAACAAAACATTGTATTACCTTTTGGAGAGTAAACTAATAATTTACGTACGCTGCGCTGTCCAAAAGTCGTTTTTTTAATTTGAACCAAGAAACGTGAAATTTTCTGAAATTGGAAACTGGAAAGTCTTGGAAGTCATCTGATAACCCAGATTGGCAAGGTCCTTTTAGAATTTGACGCCCTATTTCAGGGATCAAAATGGTATTTTTGAATAAAAATGGGTCGACGCCAAAATTGAATATCAATTATAAAATGATCCATGTAAAAACAAAATGTTTTTCCCGCCTTCAGAACTGCAACTACGACTCTTCAAGGCGAGGCTATCAGGTCCAGGGTCACAAGGTGAGGTACTATCTCCCCTTCTGTGGTCGCTCCTGGTGGATAGTCTGCTTAATGCCCTCGACAGAAGAAAAGTTGATCTGCAAGCTTATGCAGATGACCTCGTCATCCTGGCAAGGTCCACGTCCTCCAAAGCGCGTTGGACGTTGTTCACAGTTGGTACCTGAGGGAGCAGATGTCTGTCAACCCCAGCAAAACTGTGTTAATCCTCTTCACCAAGAGAAGGAAACTGGACGATCTAACGCCACTCTCCCTCAATGGTGTGGTCATTCCATTTGGAACGGAGGTGAAATATCTTGGCATTGTCCTTGATAAAATACTCACCTGGAACGCTCACTTGGAAACAGTTTTACACAAAGCCAGACTGTCTCTATGGACATGTCGAAGAATTTGTGGTAAAACTTGGGGTTTAGGTCCCAAACAAATCCATTGGATTTATGTGATGATTGTCAGACCAATGATCACGTATGGTGTAATTGCTTGGTAGCCGAAGGCTTTACAGAAAACGGCACAAGCGAAGCTCTCTGGCTTGTCTGGCTTGTCAGGCTTGTCAGGCTTGTCTGGCTATCAGTGGTGCAGAGTGCATACAGACTTGTGCACATTGCCAATTGAACAAATCAATCAAATGCAGAGTGCAACAGACGGTTGGTTGACACTTCAAGTCACAGCATCTGACTTTATGCTTCCAAATATCAACTACGAACTGCCTTATAAAGTACCATTCCCAAGTAGAGAGGACTGGATCCCTGGGAGAAGGAAATATTAAGAGCAGATAATTGTTGGTTCACAGATGGATATCAAAAACACCTTCTGATTCTGGTGCAGGTGTTTTTAGTCGCAGACCCAGGACAGAGATAGCTACCTGCCTAGGAAGTTATGCGACTGTATTTCAAGCGGAAATTTACGCTATTTAATTGTGTGCGGAGAGATTGGATAAATCCAACCTCACACACAAGCCAATAAAAATATTCTCTTGGCTTCTACCGAGCAACGTCTAAATTAGTAGCGGATTGGCAAAAACGACTCTCCTTGATAGGAAGACTTAACAGATTGTGTTTGGTCTGGATTCCTGGCCAAACAACGAAGCTGCTAAATCTCTTGCAAAGGAGGGTGCTGCAAGCGGCTTTATTGGACCAGAACCTGTCATTGGCATCGCTTTATGGACTTCTGGCAGAATCTTCCAGCATTGGCTCACTCCAAGACGTTTATTCACCCTTCGAAGCTTGATACCAAACAGTTGTTGGACTACAGTAGGGATGAACTACGATGTCTAACAGGCCTTCTTACAGGTCACTGTCATTTGAATCATTATATGCAGAGACTTGGACTGTAAGACAGTGTGTGTCGCCTCTGTTTGGAAAATGATGAAACAGCAGAGCATATACTTTGTGCCTGCCCCGCTGGGGACCGAATCAGGTTCTTAGAGTTCAGCAGAGCCGTACTCTTAACATCTAACCTAAAAGACCACTCACCATACAAACTAATCGGCTTCGTTAAGAAGCCTGGTTTATTTGGTCGAGTAAGAATAGGTGTGAGATAAAATAAACCCTTGTGGGTTGCGGCGGAGGGTCAAATAGCCCCACCCACTTTAGACCTACCTACCTACCTACCTCCCGTCTTCATTTCCGGCAGACATCTTATCAGAATGGTCTTGTTCTTGAGTACTAATCACTATCCAAATCCGAATTAGAATCTACTTCCGTAAATATAAAATCAGGAAAACCTAATGAAAAATTGGAATTTGTTCTTACTTTATAGGTTGATGTAGATGGAACATCAAGAAATGTTGACTCCGTACTGACCGTACTCTCCGCAGTGTCATGTTTATTTGGAACCAATTTCTCTACACAACTTTGAGTTTGAATTATTTGTTCTTTTGTTTCTCTATAAATGTATAAGTTTCTATAATGAATACGATTTCGGATCTTCAACTGAAAATTACGAACTTACGAATTGAAAGTTTTACAAAAATTTCATTTCGTTTGAGAATGTGATGAAGCAGTATATTTTAACTTCTTCTTTTCGCGTAACTTTCGATAATCTGCTCGACAAACTGTTTATTCGTCAAAGTAACAATAACAAACCAGACTGATACTGCTACAAGTGCCACGCCAACATACAATCAATTTCCAATCTCTAAGAAAATGATCACATTCGTATTAGACAGCGAGCTATATGGGATTCACAACTGATCGAGGTCGAGGTATTAAACGCGAATTTTGCTACGTTTATTGGTTTTCCGTGTTATATACCTAACAATAGATTTGTGAAATATTTAAAATCGAAAGGGCGCTAAAAACAACATTTTTCAAAGGGCGGCGAGAGTAAACTGCCCCCCTTTCCCATGGCGCCACCTCTGGCGCCATGATGATTTCCCTGTAGTGCTTGTGTTCTCTTCTTCTCTGTATCTGTAGAGTAGGGAGGGTGACTGTAAGCCCACGCACTTAGGCCACATGTGACCCATTGTACATCCTCCCGAGGAGTTGTCCTCCTAGGTCCTCGTCCATCCTGTCCTTTCCAGGAAGGTGGACAGGTCACTGGGAGACATCTCCTTTATATCGGCAGGTGTAGGCCAAGACTCGCCGAACACACACTCTCTTGTTGACAATAACTCCGGGCACTCGCACAGGACATGCCTGACAGTCTCATCTTCCTGTTCACACATCCTGCATAGAGGTGTGTCTACCAGCCCCATATTATGGAGGTGTTTTCTTAATTGACAGTGGTCAGTCAGTAATCCTACTGTTAGGCGTAGATTTTTCCTGGTCATTGCCAGATATTTCTTCGGCGCCAGCTTCCCAAGGTCACCCAAGGTGATCCTGGCAAGATTGCATCCTTTGATTCCGTCCCATCTCTTCAAGGATTGAGCATGGGTGTAACATTTGGCTAGTTCCGCAATTGTCGAAGTCATCAGGCCGTAGGTGCCACTGGGTCCTAAACTTCTTAGTCCAGCCGCTTCCTTGGCTAAAGAGTCGGCAATGCCCTTTAACCCACCTCAGGATAATGCTATTCTACCGAGGCTTTGGCTAAATCTTGGTGACACTCTAGAACTAGCCCTGAGGTTATACGTTGTCTGTTCAGGGCTAATAGGGCTTGTCTACAGTCAGTGCAAATTGTTATGTTTTTGCCAGAAATTCTTTTCTTGGTTAATTCTTTTGTGGCGATTGAGATACCAGCCATTTCTGTTTGGACCACGCTGGTATTTCTTCCCTTTCCCCATTTAATTCTTAGGCTTAGTAACCTGGAATACACTCCACACCCTGAGCCTTCTTTGGATTTTGAGGTTAGGTTAGGTTATGTTAAAGACCCCATGCGCGTCCCACTGTCCTCCGACATTGCTCATAAGCTACGTATGCTCTTTTTGCCTTACTCTGTAGATGAGAGTTCCATGTTAGCTTCCTGTCGAGGATATTACCAAGGTATTTCACCTCTTCAGAGAAGTTTAGTTTGCTTTTAAAGATTTCGGGAGGTTTTAGGCCGTTAAACTTCTTATCCTGGTGAAAAGGACCATCTCAGTCTTCTTGGGATTGATCGACAGTGAGTGTTCCTTACACCATGTTTCTATTAATTTGAGCCCATCCTGTGCTCTATCGCAAGATAACTGTCATCTGTGTATGCAATTGTGTAGAATCCATTTTTGTTAAGGTGATTAATCAGGGTATCCAAAACTATTTCAGTATTTTTTCAAGGCTCTTATTATTTTGTCGAGGGTTGGTATTTCTTCCTTGAAATATAATGAATGCACTGTTTGTAGTTCTGATCAACTAGCGCAGTTTTTCTTGAAGATGGTTTTGGTGATTTCGCAGCTTCATTTTTTCTTTCATTCTTAAATTTGTATATAATTTTTTTGTAATTTCCCGCCATTTGCGAACACATTCCCATCAAAGTATCACCAGTAAACGGAGGATTTTGGTGTATAAGAGCGTCACATACATTAATTGTGATAATTTTTTCATCAACAGAAAGAGCACATTTGCTCATTCATTTTACTGGAGAGAAAACTGAAGTAGCTATTTTAATTGACACACTAAGGGCTTTATCACTATCATAATTTTTTTCATGTAGATTCACATCCTTGAATATTTGCATATCATTGAGAAACACCTTGTGTAATCTAGTGAATGGATTTACAACTTCGAAATTTCGAATGAAAGTTGAAGTTCATTTTTTTTAGATTAGATGGAAAATGACAATGTGAAACTTACAAAAAATAAATTGTTTTATTCAAAATTTGAATTTTAAGTTATAATCCTTACAACACAATAAATTATAATAAATTAATAAAAAACAAATAGATCAAAGAAATTGGTTCACTACACAATATCAGACTTAATTCTACAACTTCACAACATCTTATATGAACACTACCCCAATAATCTATCCGTTTTTATAATTCTGAAGTACATCACCTAAAGTCCGTCTCTTTCAAGTGTACCTCAGAATTATATTCCACGCAGTAGCAGCATTTTCGCTCATTCAAAACTTTCAGAAATAGGTCAGGTTTCAAATACACACATTTCATTGAATCAGTATTATTATTGAATAAAGTAGTCCATTCCAAATTTGAAACTGGGAACTAACTCAATGCTGACTTAATTTTTTTTCCATCACAGATTTTTCACATAATGTACCTCTAAGACAAACAACAGTACTTTCAAATATTCTTCTTATTATTCTCGGTGGTGGCCTAAGCTGCTAGGGCAGGAGTCCAATTCAAAAATTTAACCTGTCCCTCAATACATGTTTGGTACCTCGCTTTGATTTTAATTTGTTTAATCAACAATACTTGTAGTACAATTTTTTTGTATAGTGTTTCATTCTAAAAATAGCCTCTTATATTTCTCAAGTTTTTCATTTCCTGTATATAAAAGGAGAAGTAGAAAGCTACAGTTTATCCAGTGCATGACACCCTAGCAAAATACAAGCAAACAATAGGCCAAATTATAAAGAAGAAGAAAATTTGACGAAAGTTGCAGCATTAGTCTATTTAGAGTTGATTAGTCAACTCAAATAATTACCAAAATACTGTTGTCTCTGATCATATCCACTCCAGAATTCAAAGTAACGTCCGATTCTAGATGAGAAACACGTGGAATATAAAGCAGCTCCTATTGAAATTTTTAAAATTAGTTTATATTTCCTTGAATTTAATTATGAATGTCCATAGGAGATAAACCGAAGGAGATCCATCCTAGGTTCATGAGGAATATCTTGTGAATATACATTTTATGCCTAACTGTATTCCAACATGAATTGGGAAAAATTACATATTCCACCTTCATAAACTAGGATTTGTGAGGAATCTAGAGAGCATGAAAAAAAATTTAACCTTTTTTTAAATCTTCTTTAACGTGTTCTTGAAAGACGTTCAAAAGAGTCGAAAATGCCACTAACCCCTTCCTAACACCTCATAGTTTTCGAATGCTCTAAATTCACTAATTTAAACTCATCATTCTTCCCGTTCTTTCACTTCGACGTCGGGCGACGTCTTATCGTCCACTGGGAAGCTGTAAATCGGCTTGAACCCTCCTTCCAACTGCGGCTTGAAATTTTCGATGTCAAACTCGCTAGTGGTCGCGTAGGGCATGGTGGTGACCTCGAGCGCCTCTGTAGTTCTATTTTTATCCTTCACCACGACAGCCCAACCTTGGTACTGGGGCACGGCGCTGTCGGCGTTCACGCTGGCTTGGAACGGCGCCTGGAAGTCTTGCTGGGGATGCTTTGGGACGTCAGTGTCCACCCGGTGGTTCCCTGAAAAAATCGTTCAACAATAAACGATAGCAAGAAACTTCTGGTGAAACAGAAACAGAATTGAGCATTTCAAGACAACGAATCCTAATCCTAAGATTACGCTCGATGTCAACCTGACAAGAACCTCACTTGGAGCCCCTATATTGACACTTCAAGTGATGAACTTGGGGAAATTGTTAATTCTTCTCCTAGCGCTAGAGGAATACCAGCATTACCTCAATACCCAATAGAACTGCCCTTCACCATCTAAAGCATAAACATTTCAACAAGCTACAACAGACATATAAGCTTTCATCAGCCTGAAGGTGAGGAATGGAAAGTTTCAATAAATTCGACACTTCTAATTCTCCACAACAGGTTCAACATTCCCAAATAGGCCAAGATAAACCCCTCACTTTCCCACTTCAACCTTCTCGATCCGTCGAAATGAAAATTAGGATGTTTTGATAAGCAGAGGTTTTTAGTGCTGTTGAAGAAAAATCATGCATTTCCTGGTCGTGGACTATGCAGAGAGGGGGTTAAAACTTCTAATAATTTCAGAGGCTTTATCCAATACCATTTTGTCACTGCCACCCTGTTGTTCAATCGTGGAACGGATAATTTGGAATAAAAACTCCTTTGGAGTTGCATCATTTTTTGTCTTACGTCGAGATGATACAGCTACTGCTTCTCCCTAGTCCACTTCACTGTATCAAAAGAATTGGGTATATAACTCCCTGGTATCCAGGTGCAGGATGTCGCCGTCTACGAGCTGCATATCCTCTCCATTGATATAAACCATTACACTTTTGTATATCCCGAATTCTACACCGACATCATGCATGTACTCTTCCACCACACTTGAGGATGACAAAGATCTCTCATAAAGTTTAAGGTCATATATATAAAACAAAAGGGTTATCTCATGCCTCCGGGTTTCTGGGGAACAGTTGAACACTCAAGGTTTTCTGAGGGCAGCGACAAAAATGCAATAGTGATATGCAGTAAAAACGGGGGTGAGTTGAGAGAATCGCTTTGAATTACCCCCCTTCTGAAAGTGACCCTCTCTGTTTGGACTCTTACTTGACCAGATGTTATGGTGAAGAGAGTCCTCCACAGTGGTATCAGTTGTTCAAAATATTTGGTACTGCAAGTGCTCCAATAATCAGAACAACTATCTTGACACAGTGGTCTGGATAGAGTCGGCGGAGTTCGAGGAAAGAATCTCGATAATTTATCTGTTTTCCTCTTCATTTCAGACGATATTCGTCTCGCCAGAAGCTGAAAACTCCCCGATAAATATCGTCTTGCTCTGGTGGTCGTGAAGGACTACATCAGGCTTATTAGCTTGCCTGTGCCTAAGGGTTGTTTCAATAAATTTTGCTATTCTCGTTCCCCACAACGGATTCAATATCCTCCGGAGCATAAGGCAACACCAGTGGCCCGTCAATACCGTACCGTAGGTGGATACAGGCTGACACCGTAAGTATTGCACATGCTAACAGCAAGTGCATTAGAGTATCAGACGCCTCGCGGCAGACCCCTTAACCTTGTTACAGGAGCCTCTATATTTATCACGCGGCGACCAGGATAGCTCGAGATGTTGAAGACACCATTTCGACAGGCCATGATATATCCCTCAGTTTCAGACTTCAGCCCACTCGATCTGAGCTAAGCGAAGGTCAAGCGCTTTGATGAGCCTAGGTCTTCAATGTTGTTGAAGAAGACCCCATGCATTGGCTTATCCTTGTATTGCCGCAGGAGTGAAGTGATCTCTGCGGCTTTTATATGGGCATCTTGCTGAAAGGGTTCCAACTCGGCGACAGAGTTGAGATCGCCTCGTTCAGTGTCAAGAACTGAGCCAAGTTCAGCAGCCTCTCAGGCAGCTACCCTAAAGATGAATGCTCCAATTCCCGCTCTCTCATGGTCGTAGACTATTCAGAGAAGGGGGTCCGACCTGTCATGTAGTCCACGTTCCATGCAGAGAAGGGGGACCTGTCATGTAGCCACTCCAAACTCATAAGTCCACGGCTCCCTGTCGGAGGAATTACAACTGTGAAACGAACGATTTGGGATTTACACTAATATGAAGATGAATAATTTTTCGGGTTTCTACGTCGACTGGATGCAGTTTCTCCCGAGTTCATTTCACGGCTCCAAACGAGTGGAATAAGATTGGAACTGCAAGCATATTCGTTGCAGCAACTTTGTTCTTCCCGACAGTTCCGATGACCAGATCTGTCGCAGTTTATGCTCATACTTGCCGCGGAGAGAGTTCTTCACATAATTATCATTATAATAATTATTATCATTACCGTCGTCCAGTCGATGAACGCTATCCACGCTCCCCACTGATCCTTGCTGTGCATGCGTATGCATGCTAGCGCTGACGGTGAAGACTTTGTTGCCGCTGCCCGTCGGATGTTCCGCCCCCAAACGTATTTCTGGAATCACTGGGCTGCCATAGTTGGGCATTGAGTACTTGTCCGCGTTGAGGTTGGGCTCCGTCGGAGTGTAAGCCACCGCGATCGGCTTTTCCGTGTACGTCTTCAACGTCGCCGATATGTGGTTTGGGGCATGCACCTTTTGCCCCGTCACAATCCTCGATTCTACGTCCCCGATGGTGTTCCACTGGTTGTTGGAGAAATAATCCGGCTCCTCCAGGTCATTCCCATTCTTCGAGGGCGTTTCAGGAATCGCCGGGTGGTTCACACCTGGATCAGGACGTTCCAGGGGGTAGGGAAAGTCGGATCTAACCGGAAAGTTATGCGGTCTAGGGTGGGGCTTTAGAATCGGAGCGTCGTGTCTGTCCTTGGGATCAAACAGTGGGTTCTGGTCGTACTTGAAGTCGGTGTTGATTTTTGAGGGGGGTAGGGGAGGTTCTGCTCTCGTACCAATCACCACGCTCTCCTTCTTGTTGTTTTCGATGACGTCCATTTTGATGGGAGGAGTATTGACAGGGTACACCTTGTAAATGGTCTTCTCGGTATTTCCAACCAGGGTATCTTCTGAGGGGATGTTGACAACCTGTTGAAAAAGATAACCTGTGAGAATTCTTGTTTGATATGAATAGTTTGAATTTAAAATCTAAAAGAGAAGGGGAGGAACATATTGTTTGCATACTGGATTTTACCGAAACAAGAGGAAGATCAAACTGATCTTCTTCTTGGTGATTGAAACACGTGTCGAGGTGTTAAAATAACGGTTTGGCGTGGGAAAAAACTTCAGTAATATTGAAGACTTTATATTTGGAATTTTGTTGAAGAGATATTGGATCACGTAGTTGTGATTGAATAATTGTGACGAATATTCATTCCCTTACTTTTTCTTGCTTTACAAAAGTCATATACATTTGGGAATCTGGTTTGAAGGGATAGTGACGTCACAGTCATGTTTCAAACTTCCATTTTCCTTCGAAATTTAAAAACTTAGATGTTACTTTCTGATGAATGAAACATAAAATAATTGAGCTCAGGCTTCGACAGCCTGAGCTCAATGAACTGCGCAACCCGATTACCCCGGATGACATTCGAAGAGCTCTTGTGGGTTCCAAGAACTTTGCTGCTCCAGGCTCAGATGGGCTAAACACTCATTGGTGGAAAAAACTAGCAAGCACACACCGCCATCTGGCCAGAGTTTTCAACTCATGGCTGGACGGAGAGCAGCCGATTCCGGATTGGATTGTCGAGGGGCGGACCGTTCTTATCCTCAAAAGCGAAGATTTGCCGATTCCTAAGAATTACAGACCGATAACATGCTTGAATTCGTGTTATAAGTTGTTTACAAGCATCTTATACACACGAATACTCACCGCAGTTGACCGAGTTTTCGAACGGATATATGAGCAGAGAGGGTCGAAGAGAGGAGTTGCCGGATGTAAAGAGAACCTGATCATCGATACATGTGTAACGCATGACTCTATACAATATAAGCGCAACCTCTCTATGGCCTGGATCGATTACCGTAAGGTCAAGAGAACCTGCTCATCGATAGATGTGTAACGCAGGACTCTATTACAATATAAGCGCAACCTTTCTATGGCCTGGATCGATTACCGTAAAGCATGCATTGAACAACTGATACCACTTTGGTGAACTCGCTTCACCATTACATCCGGTCAAGTCAGAGTCCAAACAGGGTGGGTCACTTTCAGAAGGGGTGTATTTCAGGACGATTCCCTTAGTCCCCTTCTCTTCTGCATCTCACTATTGCCATTATCCGTTCCGCTCAGAAAAACTCGAGGGTATAACTGTGGCACCCCCGAAAAATGGAGGCACAAGGTCACCCATTTGTTTCATATGGATGATCTTAAACTTTATGCCTCTAGAGAGGATCTCCATCAGTCCTTGAGGGTGGTAGAAGAGTACACGCATGCTATTGGTATGAAATTCGGGATAGACAAATGTGCAAAGGTCCATCTCAAAAGAGTACGATGCGGGGACTACGGAGAGGATGTGCAGCTCGTAGATGGAAGCATCCTACACCATCTGGATGCCGGAGAGACGTATACTTACCTCAGGGTGGAACAACGCCACTCACAAGAGGTAACTGCAGTGAAAAACTCTCTCCGCAGCACAAACTTCGGCAGATCTGGTCATCGGAACTGTCGGGGAAGAACAAAGTTGCTGCAACAAATATGCTTGCCGTTCCAGTCTTACTCTACTCCTTTGGAATAGTGAAGTGGACTTGGGAGGAGCTGTATCAATTCGACGTAAAGACCCGAAAAATGTTGCATCTCTATAGAGGTTTGCATCCCAAATCGTCCGTTCCACGGTTGTACTTCCCCTGACAACAGGGAGGCTGTGGACTTTTGAGTTTGGAATGTATACATGACAGAAAGGTTCTGGATACAGCCTGTAAAGTCGTCAGGAGTTCGGATCCCCATCTCTGCATGGTCCGTGACCATGAGAGAACAGGAATTGAAGCATTTCTCTTCAGGGCAGCTGCCCAAGCAGCTGATGAACTCGGTATAGTTTTTGACACTTAACGGGGTGACCACAACTCTGTCACCGAGTTGGAACCCATTCAGCAAAAAGCTCATATAAAAGCCGCAGAGATCACCTCACTTCTGCGGAAACACAAAGATAAGCCAATGCATGGGGTCATCTTCAATAACATTGAAGACCTTGGCTTATCAAAGCGCCTGACGTTCGCTTTCTTCAGGTCGAGTGGGCTGAAGTCGGAAACTGAGGGGTTCATCATGGCATGCCAGGATGGTGTCTTCAACACATTAGTCTACCGCAGTCGCGTGATAAGTATAGAGGTTCCTGACACAAGGTGCAGGGCCTGCCGCGAGGCACCCGAAACCCTAATGCACGTGCTATCAGAATGTCCAGCATATGCGGTCTCGGCCTATATCCATCGACATAACGCGGCCCTAAGAGTGATATATTACCATCTACGGCACTCTTACGGTTTTGACGAGACATCGGTGTTGCCCGTTGTGGGAAAAGAGAAGTGCCGAATTTATTGGAACTATTCGTTCCTCCCCCTCAGGCTCATGCAAACTAATAAGCCTGATGTAGTCCTTCTCGACCACCAGAGCAAGACGATATTTGTCATGTAGTTTTCAGCTCCTGGCGAGACAAATATCGTCCGAAAAGAGGAGGAAAAACGGATAAAATATCGAGATTTTCTCTTCGAACTCCGCAGACTCTATCCAAACCACTCTGTCAAGATGATTGTTCTGATTATTGGAATCCTTGGTGGAATGATGTCCTCTCTACTCTCGTATATTAAAATCATACCGGCTTGCCGCACCAAGGCAGAAATCTTAGCCGCACAGATGCAGAGGGCTGTCATTCGTAGCTCACTGGTGCTTGCTCAGGGCAAATGATTCTCGGACTCAATGACCACTTACCCTACGGTGTGGGGAGTGGTTATTGGTTGATAATGCTGGCGCACCCTCCCGAATGTATCAGGGCTTCGGAGGATAGGGCCCGACCAGCGCACACTATGATGATAGAGTCTTAGAACCCCGCAGACTCTATTCAGACCACTCTATCGAGATGGTTGTTCTGATTATTGAAGTCCTTGGTGGAATGAAGCCCTCTCCACTCTCGAATCTCAAAATCAGGCCGGTTTGCATCAATAAGGCAGAAATCTCATTTTTGGCTTACAATGATCACTTACCACACGGTATCATAATGCATCGGTGCTTTGAAGACTAGGGGCTGACCAGCGCAAACTTAGGACAATAATAAAAATGTATAACGGTTCACTCGAAACCTCTGAATTGATTAATAAGAACTTGTACTACCTGCGTCACCAATCCGCTATCTTCCGGCTTCTCAACTTTTTTCGACTGGATCATCTGCAGAGTTTCCACCTCCACGTCGTCATCCCCATTTCTTCTGTTCGCGATCCTCACTTGAGGTGGCCCTTTGTAAAACCCGAAAGGATCTTGCCCCAAGATCGGTTTTCTAGGCCCCTCGTTCATAATTCTGTCTTCTGCTATCGGAACGTCGTCCAAACTCTGTCTTGGCGGTAACACGTTTTTCCTCAACCCATGAGAGTTCTTGTGGGTCAGAAATAATGGTGGAGGTGGTGGAGGAGGCTGCATCTTTTCGAAAAACCCGATGGGTCTGTTGGAAGGTCTCTCCAGCAACGGCTGTCTGTTCAATCTACGAAACAATATAATGAAGAATCAACAAAAAATCCACAGAATATTACTTTATATGCAGTCAATTGTCCACAGTAGAGTCTGAAAAGCTAACAAAAACCAAAATGTTCGTCTGAGAAATATGTTGATCCATTTCCCAACAAAACATAACATTTGATCAATTAGTTGGATCACCAAACCTTTCACTCAATTAAAATCTTATTGTAATTCAACAAACCTTTTGTCGTAGAACATTCCAGGCGGCTTATTCATGTTCGGCCTGAACTGCGGCAAGATATTTGGCAAATTGTCGATCCTTTTGTAGGCTATATCAGCTGGAGGTCGTGGTGGACGGTTGTACTCTGGCTTACCGCTGTAGAAATGCCCCGGCCTCGGGTCCCACGGAGGTCTCACAGGTCTCAACTCGGGCCTAGGTACAGGAGCTATCTGCGTCTCACGCGGCGGGGTTAAATCGCTCGGCAGCTGGTGATACATAGGCTTTGAACTGAGCTGCAACACCTCACGGTTCGGATCTGCAGGAGGAGGTACGAGATCCGGAAACTCGGGCTGCTTCTCGTCGGGGAAAACTATTTTATTTCCGGTGCTGCTTTGGGGGAACTCGACCGGGTTGTTAGTCTCTAGTTTCTCGTCGACAACCTGGCCGGGTACTTGGCTAACTGGAACTCCGATTGCCAGGGAAGCCTCGGAGTGTTTTAAGGGCTGGATGGTCACAGCGCTGCCTACGATTTCGGGGCGAGTCTTCACTGGGTTGATGAGCTGGAAACTAGCCTCAGGTTCGACTTCGATCTTATCGTTGTAGATGGCTGGCTGACCGTACAGTGGGCGGAAGGGGTTCCTATCGTACGCATTCTCTTTCTGGGGACTGCTACTTTCGTACTGGCCTCCATCGACGTTCTGCTGGTTCCCGACTACGAACGACACGATGTCCTGGTCGTGGGCTATGTGGACATTGGTAGTACTGGGAGGTGTAGGTGCTTTTTCAAAGGGCCTTGGCTGTACCCTCTCGCTGTTGAGTTTTTCCCTGAGGTTCTGTGTAGCAACGATGATGGGGTCTCGGTGGAAGTGTTCGTGGACGAGATTCGTAACATGGTTCCGGCTGGGCGTTGTCAAGTGGTTGTCACCCAGAGGTAGAGAAGTCACCCTCACCGTAGCAAAAGTGCTAGGGGTCTGGCTGGGAGGAGTGGTAATCGAGATCGGAGTCGTAATTGATATCGGGGTCGTAATCGAGATTGGAGTCGTTGGTTTCTCTTCAGACTGGTCGTGGAGGTTTGTGTTTTTATCAGAAGTTGAAGTTTCAGAACTAGTGTTTGTGAGAGATTCAGAAATGTTGGTTTGTAAAGGTTCTATACTCAAGTCGTCATCGACACTAACGAGAGGGTTCGTTTGGACCGCTACATTGTCTTCGTACTTTTCGTTGTCATAATCTTCATACTCGTAGTTCGATTCTATTCCCATGCTGGTACCTGATAAATAAGAGAATCGTTAATGTATACAGAATGCATTTTGACAAGTTTCAGCAGTACATTCTTAGACGCTCGATCAATATTATGAGAAATTTGTTTGCCTATTTTTGCCTATTGGATAAAGCATATACGTAGGTAAAATCTGAGTATATTAAAACATGATCACAGTAATCGATGACGTTGACACCCAATAAAAAAGTCGTTTCATAATAATTGGTCGTTTATGACGTTTCTAAAATGATGTCTTCAAAATGAATCCGTGAAACTTTGGATTGCTAATCATTCTGTAATAAATACACAACGCATTTCAACTATGTCAGAGCAATATTCCATTCCCCAGCAACTTCTAATGATCAATGCAGCTATTCCTTGAAGTAGTATGATAACCTACTGAGACACTACTGAGACCTACTGAGACACTACAGACACTTTTCAAAAAAACAGATCTATCCAAATGTTGATCTGCAAGCTTATGCAGAAGACCTTGTCAGCCTGGCAAGGTCCACGTCGGGAAGAGTAGCTTGTAATATCCTCCAAAGCGCGTTGGACGTTGTTCACAGTTGATGCCTGAAGGAGCAGATGTCTGTCAACCCCAGCAAAACTGTGTTGATCCCCTTCACCAAGAGGAGAAAATTGGACGATCTAACGCCACTTTCCTCAATGTTGAGGTCATTCCATTTGGAACGGAGGTGAAATATCTTGGCATTGTCCTTGATAAAAAACTCACCTGGAACGCCCACTTGGAATGTCTCTATAGACATGTAGAAGAATTTGTGGTGAAACTTGGGGTTTAGGTCCCAAACAAATCCACTGGATTTAAGTATGTGATGATCATTAGACCAATGATCACTTATGGTGCAATCGCGTGGTGGCCGAAAGCTTTATAAAAAACGGCCCAAGCGAAGCTCTCTGGCTTACAGAGACAGGCTTGTCTTGCTATCAGTACCACACCGTCAGCGGCCATGGAGATCCTCCTGGATCTACCTCCTCTCCACATTTTTCTGGAGAGAGAGGCTAGATGGACTGCATACAGCATACAGTCGAATAGACCCACTCACTTTAGTCCCAACCTAACCTAACCTATCTATCCAAATGACTGAATAGAGGTTCATAATAATTACCTGAGAGGACGTTTGGGCCACCATGAGAGTTGTGGAACTGGTTACTCAGTGTGGTTGTCGTTCTAGTACTAGTGGTCGCTCTAGTACTAGTTGTCGCAGTGGTTGTTGTAGTACTCGCCACCGGTTTCTCTGTCTTAGAGTACTTGTTGTACTTATTAGAAGGTAAGTTTCCGAACAAAGAAGGCGTTATCGAGGTAGTAGACTTCACGGGAGCCACTGTTTCATCATACTCCCCAAAGAGCTGCTCGAACAAGCTCATGGCCTTCTTCGTTGTCGTAGTCGGAGCTGTTTTGGTCGTCAAATAAACCTGGTTAACGTTTTCGGTAGTCAAATACACCTCGCTCGAGCTGGGTTTCTTTCCAGCCTCGGCGGGCACGTCGTAGTAATCCTCAAAGTCCTCCATGAAGTTCGGATGCCCCATTCCGCTGTTCAAGAGATTAGTCGCTTCGCTCGTCGGGTAGATCTTCGTCGTAGGCTTAGGAGTTGTAGTCGTGGTGGTAGTTGTGCCCCTGGTGGTCGTTTGCACGGGGCTGAAGTACTGGCTGGTGGTGTAGTAAGTGGGACTCATAATCGGCTTCTTGGTCGTGGTTTTCGAGTTGTAGTCTTTGTGGTTGTGGAACTTGCTAACGCTTCCTTGGATTTTAGTGCTAGCGTACGAGTTGGATACCAACGGGTAGACGTACTTGGCGGAGTTGTACTTCACCGGTAGGTTGAGGAAGTCGTGGAAGTTCGTAGTCAACTGGTTGACGTCACTCGGTCGGTGGCTGCCCAGGCTTCCGTCTTTTCTGTCGATGTTTGCTTTGTCATAGATGTTCTCGCTGGGTTCTTCGTCTATGTAGTCGTACAGGTCGTCGTCCAGTTTAGGTGAGGGGGATTTTTGGCTGAAGTCTATTTTGCCGGTGAGCGGATCTTTCTCTACGTAGAAAGGTTTGCCGTGGTTAAATATGTTTTCAGGTAAGTTGTATCCGGGGAGGACTAGTGGCGAGGGGTCCGGTATTTCCTCGGACTTGGACTTAGGCGGGTCACGTTCCTGGAAAATGACATTCTGGTGAGCGATACGATTTGATAAGGATAGCGACTTTTCAGAAATTGAATGAAAGTTTTTGATAGGGTAACAGACCCAGTAATGGACACTGTACCAGTAATGGACACTTTTTTCATAAAACTTGCAAAAATAAGAAATATACCACATATATTACAACTCTGTTCTTGGCTGGATGTTCCATAGGACTTTGGCCAATATCCACTTCCAAATTATGTGACCAACTTCAAGCGTCTGTCAAATATCAAATAACATTGTTGAATGGTGGATGATAAACAGCTGGCTGATTTGTGTTTCTTTACCTGTTACTCTGTGCTACTTTTCAGTTCCAAGAGAATTCAACTATATCTTTTCAAGCCAGGTGAGTTCCAAATGTAAGAAAATATAGATAGGTTATGTAAATATGAAAATATTTGTATTTAAAACATGTTTTGAGTTTTGGAAAGGGGGTGACCACTACTAACACACATTATAACTTGGAGAGTCAGTTTTGATCATAGGGGTGACCATTTCTAATCCACTATATTTTAGTATTGGTCACCTTTGATGGTCACCTACTTATTGAAAGTCACTAATATAGTTCAAGATTTTCACTATAAAACTGGGGAAAGTTTATGGTAAAAACCTTACATTGAACTGTATTGGTAAGTTTGAGCTGCTTCTCTATTTCTTTAAACGTAACTGAAATGGCTCAAGACCCATAACACTGTTTTACTAGGACGTAACTAGACTCCTTCATTTGTAACTTTTGGATTGAGTTTGAGAATAGAGTGATGAGGATTGGGCTCTTGGCATAGTCTTGAGCTGTAGAACCCTGTTATTACAGTGTTATTAGGTAGTCAACAATAGAAAACACAATAAAATTTCCTTTTGGGGAGTCTATAATTCACTTAACTAGTGAATGAACAATAATAAGTTATTGAATTACTCGTTATAATGAGTGATTTTTGCTGGTTTCTTTTTGGCAACACTGTTTTTGACAGATCACGCGTGAATCGTGTCTTGCGTCATTGTCAAACTTGTTCAGTTTGGTCTATAATTTAAGCATGAATCGACTTACGAATGAACAACGCTTGCAAATTATTGAATTTTTTTATCAAAATTCATGCTCGGTGAAGAAAATGCATCGTGCACTTCTCCCTATTTATGGTAGTTTCGTCGGTCTACTGAGAGAGCTATTCGGAAGCTTGTGACTAAATTTCGAACCCAGTTTACGTTATTGGGCATTAAACCACCAACACGCATACGTAGAGTGAGGACCGAAGAAAATATTGCGGCTGTATCCGCCAGTGTTCGTGATGACCGTGAAATGTCGATTCGCCGCCGTTCACAGCAATTGGGCCTCTGTTACTCCACTACGTGGAAAATTTTGCGAAAGGATTTGGGTGTAAAACCTTATAAGATACAGCTGGTGCAAGAATTGAAGCCACACGACACACAACGTCTAAGATTTGGTGAATGGGCGCTGGTAAAGTTGGAGAAAGATCCACATTTTTATCGAAAAATTGTGTTCAGCGACAAGACTCATTTCTGGTTGAATGGATACGTTAACAAGCAAAATTGCCGCAGCTGGAGTGAAGACCAGCCACAAGCATTGCAAGAGCTACCGAAGCATCCCGAAAAAGTCACTGTTTGGTGTGGATTAATTATGGGTCGGTAGCATCATCGGGCCGTACTTCTTCAAAGACGACAATGACCGATCGATATGTTAGAGAGAGTGTGCCAAAATTGGACTTTGTGTATGAGCCGTCTATAGCGGAGCAGCGGATATTTGCATGAAATCATCTTCAAACATTAAATAATATTGATCGTTCTATCGATTCCAATCTAGATTTCATCAATTTTTTCAAATTTTTTGTGTTTTTTTTGAAAATCAAATCCTATACCTTTTAAAAAATCACCCACTAGTATTGAGATGGTGTTGAAATAAAATAAAACAAAACAGTTAAAAAACTTTAGTTGAAGCCGAAGCTATTACTGAGTGTACTGAAACGAATAAAAAACAACGAATTACTCATAGAAGAAAATTAATGATAGTAAAAAATAAAAAATATTTTCTACCTAAAGAATATAATGTTTATGTTTATTATTCTCAGAAACAAGACGTTTATATACAGCGAGCGGCTAAATTAGGAATAAATTCCTTATTTCGCAAAGTTTTGCCCGTTTTTATGAGTCTACATTAAACTGTAATATCTCAGTCAATACTAATTCAACTGAATTGAGCTTCATCAGTGCACGTTTGCCTCTATACCTCTTAGTTAGTTTTAGAATTAACGATTGAGCGAGCCTTTTCAACTTACGTGATCTTCAAGTTCCTGGCTGTCCAAAAACTCGTAGTCATAATAGGGTTCCGTAGCATTCGATGTATTCCTAGCGGACGGTTCTCCTAAAAGAGCCGCTCCATTCGTTGCCGATATTTGCCACACAATCATGAAATAAGGTGTGGATATTACAATTTTGAGCAGCGTCATCAAAGCGAACTTCAGTTCCATGTTTTCTGAAAGAAAAAAACCATAAGAAACAGTTATACTATCCCTCGACCAAATCACCATCATCTCCTGATGATGGTGATTTAACTTAACTCTTACAGCAAAAACAAAGATATAGGAATCTTGGTTGATTAGAAAACTATGAACGGGATGTATTCTTCAAACCCTTATATTATAGTATTGGACAAACAGGAAGAACCTTTCTCGAAAGAATAAAAGATCATAGAAGTACAGTGCTTGGAAATCAGTAGCTTTGATAATTCTGCAAATTTACTGAATAACCAAATAGAATGTTTTTACGTGGATATTACTGATTAGTTTACACGTCAACTCAGGTAATTTTCATTTATTATATGTGTTTGAAAGATATCTGTCCTAATGTTAAAATTTTTGGTTAGTTCCGTGAAAATTTCACAATAACGTATGGGTTAAATTCAAATCCTTAGGTCTGACTGTCGATATCGAGCAGAACTAATCGCATATTGAATAAGTGAATTACAATATTTTGTAGGTATCTTTTCTGGTTTCAAAATTTTCAAATTTTTTTTTCAAGTGCCAACACCTCAAAAAGTGTCAGTTGAAGTTAAATAAATCCACATGTTTCTAGAAATGATATGAAATCGAAAAACGTTAATGCAGTCAAGCTACTGGAAAATAATTCCATGAAAATCAGAAGATAAATAGATATTGATGTTTGTACGTATAATGGTTGTTTTTAAATATATTGAATTGAACTATTTTGATCATTCCCATATTGGTTTAAATCTAAGAGGAAGATCAAACTGTTTGTTCTTCCTCTTGAAGATGATCACTTGGTGATCGAAACACGTGTCGAGGTGTTGAAAATAACGATTTGGTGTTCGGAAAAACCTCCAGTAATAGTCATTACTACACCAAAGTTTCCAAACAGTGCAGCACAAGTACTTGTTGATTTGTTGCAAGAAGAATTTTGTTGCCTTTTTATCCCATATACACACATCGGAAAAGTCTAGGGATATTTTTAAAAATGGCAATAATTTTTTTTAGATCGCTTTAGACCACCCCGAAAAAAAATCATAATAGAAAAAAAAAAATGGAATCAGTACAAAGTATGGCCTCCACGCTGGTTTATTACGGCCCTACATCTATCGTGCATCGACAAAATGAGATTGTCAATGTCTTGTTGAGGTGATTAAAAGCTCTCTCAATTGAAACGTTGTGTGAATGTTCCCCATATGCGGAGTAATTCTTCGTTGAAGCATGTCCCACACATGCTCGATGGGATTCAGGTCCGGTAATTGTGCTGGCCATGGCAATACATCAACTCCTTCGTTGGTGAGCCAGTCAGTCACTAGACGCGCGACATGTGGACGAGCATTATCGTGCATTAGGTGGAAGTTTTCACTAACAGCACCAGCAAACGGATGGACGATAGGTAGAAGAATAGTGTCGAGGTACTGTCGAGCTGTGAGGGAGCGATTTGGAAAAACGAGATCGGTTCTACCGCCGATCATGATTCCGCCCCATAGCATTACTGTACCACCTCTGTATGTGTGGACTTCCTGGACGTGTCTCAAACGTTTATTATTTCCAGGTCGTCTCCACAGTCTTACTCGACGAAAATCTGGATGAAATCCAAATCTGGATTCGTCTGTAAACAAAACCGTGGTCCAATCATTTGCATCCCAGTTTTGATGTTCTTGACACCACTCTAATCTTCTACTGCGATTGCCTCTCGACAAAGGTGGACATCTAAGTGGCCTTCTGTTGTGGAGATCTGCTTCATGCAGTCGATTTCTGACAGTATCACGACCAATGGTTACCTGGTGCGTCTGCAGCAACACGTTAACCAACTCAGGTGCTGTGATTGTCGGTTGTCTTCTTGCGGTTAAGACCAAAAATCGGTCTTGAACTGCAGTTGTAGCGCTGTAGCCCTGTTGTTGTTGTTGTTCGACTGGACTGCCAGTTTCACGGAAACGCCGCCACAATCGACTGATAACACTTTGGGAGACCCCCAAACGAAGAGCTACATCATTTTGTCGCATGCCACCTTGAAGAAACCCTACAGCTCTATTCATCTCAGCCAATGGTAAGTGATGGCGTTCCATGTTGAAACACAATATTTCCAGTTTAATTGCTGAGCAAGAACTGCATAGAATGTACAAACTCGACACTTTCAGATTATTCATTTTAGCCGAAAACCTACAGTTTGTAAAAAACTTGATAAAAGATTAGTTGCCGTTTTTGCAGGCTTTGTTCAACCCATAGAAATCTACAGGGTGGTCGAGTGTACCAATTTAATCGAAATTAAACGACCTCATGCATTTATTTTTATGATATTTAGTATGTTATAAAATATCCCTAGACTTTTCCGATGTGTGTATTTTAGCATTGCCGCTGTGATTTTGTCGTTTCCAGGGGCCTTAACTTTTCTAAATTTTTTTATTGTTCTAGTTTGTATCAGATCCTCTGTATTTTCTTGTGTCACTGTTTGTATATCTGTGTTTCTGTCTATTTCGGATTTAATTTTAAACATTCCTTGAAAATTATCTTTTAGTCTATTGAATACGTCTTTGTTTTCTGTAACTCCCCAGTCTTACTCTTGATAACTAATTCTGATGATATTTTCTCTGTACTCAAGGAACAGTATTGAAAAAAATAGTGTTTTGTTGCTTTTGTTCCATTTTTTCTCCATGTCCCTTTTTTTGGATTCCATGCAATAGAAAACAGAAATATCATACTTTGTTTCGGGAAATTATTTCGGTTCCCCTGAAATTTACAAGTAACGGAATTTTCAATACCGAGACCTTTGCATACACTGTGCTAGCCATCGTCAGTACTTCCTGACGAACCCACCAAGTGGGTCATCAGACTAAGGCAAGGTCATTTATTTCAACCTTGACCCAGCTTTATTACTCACGAAGATCATCAACTCTCTGGCCAGTTATAATTCACACCTACACCGCGGCATTCTGGGTCTCGATTCATAATACAGGGTGATGCCAAAGGCATAAAAAGACAATCAATCAATTTCAATTAAACGTGAAAGTAAACCCTTGAATAGGTTGTTTCAAAAGCTCAATTAGTTTTTATGAATGTACTTCAAATTGTAATATCTCAGAGAATACTTATTGAATTTGAACGAAATGGGCGCCATTTGATTCAGTGCAGTTTTGCCAACGCAATAAAAGTCGAATAATTTCGATGCTCGGGATTCGATGTAGTCGACGAAGGCCGTTTTTGCCTGGTCCTGATTAGCAAAGGTTTTACGTGTGAGAAACTTATCGAAGTGCTTGAATTTATGGTAGTCGGTTGGTTAGAGGTTTGGGGAGTGAGGTGGTTGAGGCAGAACTGCCATGGATATGGATTTCAACAATGATGGATGGATGGATGGATGGATGGATGGATGGATGGATGGATGGATGGATGGATGGATGGATGGATGGATGGATGGATGGATGGATGGATGGATGGATGGATGGATGGATGGATGGATGGATGGATGGATGGATGGATGGATGGATAGATAGATAGATAGTCTCTGTTGGAGACTTAGTCCATCTCAGTATTACCATAGAATTCAAGACCTCAAACTTTATTATGTTGTTTGAGAGGAATTTTACGTCTGTTGAAGATTTATATTACTAGTAACTAGAACTTTAAAAAAAAATTACAAAAATGGGACTAAAAGGTGAAAAATAAATATTTAAAAAAAAAACTAAAAAACGCGCTTTTATAGCATATGAAACCAGAAGGTGAAAAATAAATATCGTTTTAAAAAACTAAAAAACACGCTTTTAAATTTTTAGTGTTTTTTAGTTTTTCAAAATTATATTTATATGACAATGATAATAGTATTTTTCGTTCGTTATTGTTTTAAGCTTGTTTTTTTAACTTATTTTTAACTTTTCAGTTCGATGTTCTTTAAAAGCGTGTTCTTAAATATTTATTTTTAAACCTCAAATCAATATGGAAACTGAATAATTCGGCCGAATATCCGATTCAGTTACAGCACTAAATGAGAGCTTCAGTTTCAGTTGATACGTCAAGAAAAGTACTTCTACCACGCCACTGAAGATGACTGCCGCAGTTGCAGTTGAAACGTTTGGATATTGTAATCAAAGGAGGCCACTGAAAAATCCGGAATTCAACCAAATCATCAAACCGAATAGTATTCGGTAAAACCACTGTTTGGCGCATCTCAAAAACTAATCATGAAAGAGGTTTGAAGGCTTTTTTTGCAATGGAATGCTTCTGATATCACTGTTTATAACGTTACTTGACTTCATTTCGAATAGTATATTTTGGAGTTGATTACCTCTGATAATGAAATTCGTGTGAAAGTTGTGAATGCGCGCCTCGCCAATTAGCAAGACTCAACTTTGACCGAGACTAGTGACCTATATTTGCTCCGAATAATGTTGCATTCCAAAGAAACAACTGCTATTCTACTTGTACGATATTTGACAAACGAGTACCACGCATCTTAGCGGTACCGCTGCCCAAACAACTCGGTGAACCGTGTCCAAGGCAAGTCATGCATGGTCAAGGCGTTTCAGATCATTCTCCTGGTTGAGCTCGACGGAATATCGACAAATATTCATAATTAATTTTATCGGTTCGGACTTCCATTGTCTAATAATATATAAAACTAGCTTACAACTAGTTTCCAAAATTTAAAATATGCTTTATTGAATTGCAACAACTAATGTTAAAATATATTTGACTGTAACAAAAATAACCTAACCTAACGTAACCCAACCCAACATAAGCTAACCTAACCTAACCTAAAAATAAAAATGAACAGAAGAAAATAACAATAAATATAGAAAAATTCCAAACAGCTATAACTATAGTCAATTTTTGACGAACATTTTTTATCTTACATACAAAATATTTTTTTCATAAAAAGTATCCTATGTTACTTCTAATACCTCCAAGAACATTTCATGATGATCGATTGAGAAGTTTTCACGTGAAACCGTAACAAACGAACTTATATTCGCATTTAGGGAAGTAGGGGTAATCT